CAGGGCAACAGGGATGTTGTAACTTTACCACATATATATATGCATATACACGTAGAGGCCCATGATTAAATGATAACTCACAGAGGTCAGAGCACATTACTAATGGGATGATCTCTCTCTAAGGTAGTACTTGAAAGGCTGAGTGGAAACCATCAAACACCCTGCTGAGGCTTCTGGTGACTTTAAATGCCAGGCGATAACTTGCTCCTCAAAGTGACCACTGCTCTTTGACATATCAAGAAGATCTCTGACCTTCCCCTCTCTACACTTCAAATACCTCTGAGAAGCTCAAATGTCCATTTCATAGTGAAATTAGCAGTTTGCACAGGCAATACATTAATCTGAATTGTCTGTGTGTGCTTCTGTGGGTGTGTGCGTAGAGAGAGAGACAGACAGAGAGGCAGAGGAAGGAAGGCTGGAGCCGAGATTAAGGTCTGTACAACTAACTGGTAACACAACGGCACTCAGTGGCTCAGCCTCCCATTTGAAGAGAGACGGAACCATCTGTGTGGCACAGGATCTGTTTCCAGGAGATAACAGCTTTTTTTAATTTCACAAATACTGTACATGGAGAGAGAGCGAAAGAGAGAGAGAGAGAGAGAGAGTGAATGTGAATGTGAGAGACATGCCTTCCTTCCCAATCTCTGCATGCATGTTCCTCTATTGCAGCACTTCCTCAGATGTCCAGAGAGGACTGCTTTGGAGTGGAGGCCTTAATAACTTCACTTTGTGTTCCTTTGTGCTTGTTTACTCCCTGCCTGTGATAAAGGCCTCGGTGTAGGGGCAGAAGGAAAGGGAGGGATTCATTATAGGTAGCAGTGGCGTTATGAACTTCCCATTTTCTCTGTTGTCCTGTCCATTTGGCTTGATTAAAACAGAGCTCAGTGCTACTGTAGATTAGTCCAGCTGTTTCCTGTGTCTGACTCTGATCTGAACACACTTCCTACCATGAAGTAAAGGGGGTGTAAGGTGAGAAGGTGCTGCGGGGAGAATGAGACATGGAAGAGAAGAGGGTCAACAGAAGGTCAGAGGTCAGTGGGCAAGTAAGGAAATAAAAGGTGAGGAGGTGATATAGGTACAAGACAAGGAAGGGAGGAGGAGGAAGCATTTGCTGTCAGCAATTCAGCTGTATGTACGTCGCATATGAATTTACCAATGTTGTGACATTCGTTTGCAACTGCATTCATAATCGAGCATTTCTGTGCACTGGAAATGTGCCTCCCTTTTGAAATGCGTAATTGAGGATGCAATTTGTCAGCTATATATGTTGAAGTAATTTTAGTAAAATGAAGAGTCAATCCAACAAATAATTTCCAGAAATGCTCTGCCATAAACGGTGAGCTTTCACCTCTGAATGTCGAAAGGAGCATTTCACCAGCTCTGCACGCACGGAAATCTAGAGTAAAGACACCTGATAATTTGAGTGGATGCAAAACAGTGTTACGATCAACTTGCAGAGAAAATGGTGAGTTTGCATGTACTTATACTGTATGTTATTCTTGAGAGTCTGAGAGGATATGTGTGCACGTAGGGGAGTGAGCAAGAAAGAGTGATATTTCACACACACATTTGGGGTTTTACTTGGCCTCCACCCTCTGCTCTGCTCCCACGCTGTGGCGTCAGCAGGCCAGCCATCTAGCGAGTGTGTTTCTCATTCCATCAAATGTTGGGAAGCTGTTCACTTCTCCGCTTTAGTCTCTGACATTCTCCATCTCCCCCGAGAGGCTGGGCAGCCTTGTCACAGTAATGTCAAACACATGTGGAACAGACCAGGGCAGAGCAGACATACACACACACACACACACACACAGGACGGAGGACGTAGGACGGAGCAGGAGGCGGCCAGAACCACACTGGTCTTTCCCACTGTGTATTAGGATAAACAGCAGTGAAACCATAGAGATGCAGCGCCGGGAAAGTCACTTCATCACTTCAAGTCACTCACTTGCTCAATATTTAAACAAATTCACACAAATTTTACACACAGATCTCATTAAAATCACTTTAACTGTACTGAAAGTACACTTTGTTTCTGCTGTAAGCATCCATGCTACAAAGGACTGACATTAATTTGTCGTCCTGAACACAGAAATACCAAAGAAAAACTACCAAAAGTCAAATAACCCTCTATAACACTTCTGTCTACTCTGTTCAACCCATCCCAATTTAGCAGTCTGACATGTTTTATTTTTGCTTCTATCATAAACACACATCCGCAGGGGAGAAATGGTAAGAACACTCGTATTTCCAACAATTATTGCTTCAGTTTTTGCAGTTTCCATCCTTCTGAAGCTATTTGTTCTCCACAACACAAACTACACAGAGTGTACACTTTTCCCTTTTTATTTTGAAACTATCCTTATCTATTGGAGGCTGATGTTCTCACCCTGGAGGCAAAGCTGTGTGATTGCCTACAATCAGAATTAGATACCTGAAACCTATTTACATATGTCAAAAGGCATAAATATGAACTCTACACACAAATCACCTTGTCATTTTGTGTGCTGTTTGTATAAGAATACAGTGTTATTAGGCAGGGAAATTGGGTTGAAATATACAATTCTGCTTCACAAAATACCTCCTCTCTAATATTTCTCTTTTCCGCTTTCCTTTATAGTTTTACCTCTTAAACCTCTTCGGTTTACAACTAAAATGTGATGAGGGGTCACCAGCAGATACTGCTCCCTTTCAAAAGGTCACATGATATGAGATATAACACTGTATATATCTGTTTGGTGACTTTCAGGAAGGCCATACACACACACACACACACACACAGACACATAAACACACACACATACACAGGCCTGATGTCTTTGGCTTGTGTCGACCGCTTGGCTTGTCTTGTTTGTGATGGCCCAGGTGTCTGTGTTGTGCTGACCACCTGACCGGCTCGCTGTGTGCTTGCAGCTCCCGCCCACCCGAGGCCATCTGCTCCACTCATTAATTAGGAGACAGCCAGTTTCACCTGCACTGCCCGCATTTAGATTACAATAATTACCACACACACAAAGCACACTCAGCAAGCCCACACACTCATATAGTAAACACATAAAGACAGTACCCAGATCCTACAGCATCAAGTCGCAGTATATACAGTCTTTTAACTGTACCAGATGACATGGACATTATTGTTATACTGAGATAATGACTTTCATCTCCTACATTTTTGCTGTCCTGATAAATATCTCACAGATAAACTATCTAGTTAACATTGACACATGCACAAGTACAGAAAAATATTGTGCCTTTGATACCTTGATGGTAAAACATTAGTCACAATGTGCCTAAAATAGCAGCAATGAATCACAGAATAACAAGACAAGAAGACAAAAACCCATCATCAAGGGAAGGAAAGTGAAGTATGTGTTCTTCAATTTTGCCATTAAAAAGCAGAGACTTTACCCTGACTCTCTGCTGGCCTGTGGCTCTCCCTAATGCTATTTCTTCAGAAGGAAACAGATACTCTTGTTTGTAAGTCTTGTGGTATGTTTCTTTCTTTATATTAAACATAGGACATCCCATCCATGCACCTGTGGTAGATGATAACTGAATAAACCCTCGTCAGGCTGGGGTCACAATGAATGGCCTTGCCTTTTAAGAGAGCTACTTAATGATGAAGTGGGGACATCTGCCTTAGCAGGCGGCTGGCTGAGCCCAGCTGAGCGATAGGGCGGCCAGTGTTGAAAAGGAGAAAGGCAGCAGAGATGCTCGCTTGGTGGTGATGGAGGTATAATGTGTGGTGAGGCAGGGTGTCTGCACTGCGGTTTCACCTCTGCAACCTCCCATCCATTGTTTGAGACTATTATCAACTGTTCAATTATTCAGATGATATTTACCAGGGCCAATTATATAAGGCCGTGTCCTGCAGAGAAAATGGCCTGAGTGTTTTACTGTTGCACTCACAGGCAGGAGAGTGCGCTGCTGAGACTGTTCAAGTGGGGGTAGAAACCTTTGGCTGGACTCATTTCTTCTCAGGGAGTGTCCCCACAGTCACAAGGGTTGCTATAAATTATCCACCATGATTTCATGTTTTTTTTAACTCACTTTTCAGTTGTTTTTATTTCCTTTGGTTGCCATAGTATTCTGGTTAAACACTTCTTCTAGCTCCTTCTTTCATGTCTCCACAAGTTGGTATCGCTACAGTAACACACCCTGCACTCATCAGAAAGAATTGGACTTCAAGTCTCTTATGTCTTGTTACACAAAGTGGACACTAGTGATGCACTACAGACATCAACACAAAGGTGGAGGGCTTTTTTGAAGCACCACAGAGTTCAGTTCAGGCTAAATTTCTAAATGTATCCCTTGACACCCATCACCTCCATCCAGTCCAGGTGGAGACCAAGTTCATAGAGACCAAAGATTTTGTGCCATCACTTTGTCTCAGCATCACTTTGATGTGCAGCACAGACTAATGGGGCAAACAACTCATGAAAACCCTAAGTCTCTCTCCTCTTGTCTCTCTTCTAATCATGTGCATTGGCACTGTGAGATACAGGGAATATGCTAGAGTTTATATTACTGTCCCTATCTCTACATTTATTATATCTACCAATTACTGTGGTATTTCACATGTAGAGAACACATTGCTTTCCCTGTATTTGATATTTAATTTATATAAGCCCTGAAAATAACTCAATATGGAAGAGTAAAGAAATAATTAATTATATAAAAAAAGCATTTTAAAGCATTTAAATAATATAGAAACAGTAGCCTAGTTTGTCTTCACCTTCACATTAATACGCTGCATATTGACCAGAATGTGAAAATTCAAATTTAAGATATTTCTGCGGTCCAAGCTTTTAAATATGAAACACTTCATATTTAACCCATTAACACACCATTTTAACAAATGTTACCAGAAAGAATAGCCCTGTTACAAAAACAGAATGTGCGCTCTTTCAAGCCTTCAGTGCATTTAAAGAACAATTCACACGGATAACAAACTAGATGTTTCCCCATGCTCCAATACAGTCGAGTTTGCAGGTTTTACTTACTTTGTGAAGGTGGAGGTCAAGTTGAGGTAATTGTAGCGGTGATAATCCACACCGAATAGTTTCTAAAACAGGTTTTATATCGTCTCAATCCTCATTATTTGGGAAAAGGGTAAAGCCTTTGCTAAATAGTGCGGGAAACTATTCAGGTGTTATCCCCTGCTTTTGTTTTTTGAAATATTGAGAGCAAAGAGAGGCAGAAGCCACAGTCTAACAGAAAAGAAAATGTTCAACTTTCCTTTGGGATTTCAAAAGGGGTCTTGACTTTCCAGGTTTAATAACTTATGAGGTATTTTTTTCTTCTCGGTTATATCAAAAAAGAAGAAATAAAATCAAAGCCAGGGTTCTTGGATCATTTAGCACACTGATGTCTTTGGTTTTACAGTCTGTTTTGTTTTTTGTTTAAAAAAAAAAAAAAACAGCAAACAGCTTCTTGTGTTGACGGTGATGTGAAGAGAAAATCACAACTTGTCCCAGTCATGTAAATCCGCTCTCTTGCTCATTTTAACCATCCAGGATAGAAGAAATAAAAAAGAACAGAATGCAGCTACAAAAAAAACAACAACGTCCTTTTCTGTTCGCAGTCCTTTCTGTTTTGAGCAGAAAAAACTATTCACCGGTTTCTATTTTGTCCACAGATCCTCGCGTCTCCCGTGTAAAAACGCAAATGATCAAGATGCGGATCCTCTTGTCTGCAGGGTGCGACTATTATTACTCCTGTGACAACTTTAAACCCCTCTTCTTTACTTCACAGTATAGCCACAGTCCGTGGTGTCAGGGAACAAGTCCGTATACATCCGGTAATATCAACCCGGCTCCGCTTTCTTAAAAAAAACAAAACCAAAAAAACAACAACAACCCCAAAACAGTTTCTTTTACAGCCTGTGGACAGTCTGCTACTCTACTACCACGTTTTCTCTGTATGGTCCTTCTCCTCCTCCGACGCGCCGATCCTCCGCCGACCTGCCTTCAGATGGTGTTGTAAAAGATTCACTTCTCCCGAAGAAAATCACAGTCAGCTGAGCATATTTTAATATTTCTTTCTTTTTTCTCCCCCCGTCAATTAACAATTTCTGGTTTTCAGACTTGGTGTTTTGTCTACACTGATGAGTGGAGCAAACGGGCCCACTGTACGCAGTAACCGCGGCTCCTCCTCCTCGTCTCCTCTCGTGTCCTCAGCTGTACCGTTCTGTCGGCGGTAAACCACCATCTGAGCTCCCTAACCCTCTCGTCGCCCCTCTCCTCTCTCTCTCTCGAGCGGTCTCCTCCTCTTCGTCTCTCTCTCCCTCGGACCACCAGAGAATCAAAGCTGGGAGCTATTACAGGAATCCCTCTTAAATTGAAGAAGACCAAGAACAGCCGACAAAACCTCATATTGGAATGAATTCATTAACAGTATGCCAAACTGGAGTCTAAAGAACTGCACTATATGACAGAAGAAATGCATGGACCCTATGGAACTAATATGGTTACACTTGCTAAAATGTCGTAAAAAATATTAAAATAAAACATGGCTTGCAAAGGTAAGTCTGCTTAAAACTATTTGTCGTCAATTTTTAGAACCAGAGCGTACAATTTAAAAAAGCATTGAGAGCCAATGAAATGCAAACTGTTTTCCTGTCCCGCTTCTGCCCGTGGGGCCGCTGTATCCCCATATCAGACACAGGACAACAAGGAAAGAAGAAGTGAGTCCATGGAAGACGCCATACTGTCATTTACTTTATAAAAAAAATCCACAATAGCGCCCTGAGCTGAATGATGCGACGGAACCCACTCAGAGAAACACTGCATAGCTTGAAATGTATAACGTTTTCTTCGTGTTGTCCAGTGTTTGTCATGCAGTCCAGCTGGTACTGATTTTATTTTGAAGACAGTGCACACCTGATCAACACACTGTAAGTTCAGTGTTAGCCAAAAGAAATGTCCAGTTGGGATAGTTGAAGTTGGTAATTGTGCTATATATCTAATAAATGGTTCCTTTTAGTGCTCCTGCCGTATTATAGGCCATGCTTCTGTTGCTTCTTATAATTAGGACTGCAAGTAGCATAGTCCTAATGTGTAGTGTATTATCTTACCATTATTATTATCGGAATTATTGCATGTGTTTATATATATAGTATATATATGACTAAAACAGTCTGCATGGAAACAGAACAGGCTGCAAATATCCGTTTTTTGCCATTATTAATTCACGTTTAATCTTTAAGAGTTAAATAGCCCAATCAGTTCAAGAGGCAAGGGACTATAAGAATGCTTAGTTTGCGACCAACAATCCCAAGCGAAAGGTGCAGTTAAAATGTTCCATAAAACAAAAATACCTGCAAAAAGCAATTCGTTGTAGATCCATTTTCGTCAGTCAAGCTAATTTAATTTATTTCAATTTTAATTGTAATGACTCATCATTTCACCTCGACACAGATGAGACTTTGGCACTGCGCTGATTAAATAAGACAAAAATTGTAGATAGTCAGACAGCAAGTACACGGAGAAGAAAAGGCAGGACTCATGGCACCGTCTGTAGTGAGAATCCTCCACCTGTCCACACTAGTCCCTAGTCCCCCCCCCCCACACACACACACGCACACACACACACACACACACATAGCCATAGAGGTGGACAGAAGACAAAGCTGACACCCTCCTGACCCCTCCTGTGTCTACAGAACAAACAGAACCAGCTTGTAAAGTACACACAGACAGCTGCTCTGCCCTAACTCCAGTCTCACCAGCCTCACCAGCCTCGAACACAAACGCTGCCTTCACAAACGGTCCAGTACTGACTAAATAATGTGAACAAGCGTGCAGGGGAAAGCCCCAGTGCTCTTTGATTGGAACGTACCAGTTTTATATCCCTGACAGGACTGATGTCCATAATTAAGGGAATTAACTTCAGGTTAACGGAGGTACGTTGCCTACCTGTTAGTTTCAAAACCACGAATATGCTTAGCATGTTTACTGTAAAGTTGCACACCACACACACACAAACACACATAGTGACACATAAACAGATGCACAGGCCATTACAAGCTGGGTCTGTCACAGGCAGTGTACCATGGTGGAAGTACGGTTGTCAAGGAGATGGATGGAGTGTTTATGAAACTCACTCTCTATATTTCTCTTTTTCAGAGTTATGGCCCTAGGTAACTCTATACACATGCAACATTGTGTGTGTGTGTTTGTGTGTGTCTCCTTAGTACTGTAGGTAGCTTATTTGTTTCCTGTGCAGAATACTGAACAGAGAAGAGGTGTGTGTGAGCGTGTGTGTGTGTGTGTGTGTGTGGCCTTGAGTGACAGAAAGGTTGGCGATGGGGGTTGCATCCAAAGAAAGGATTCCTGTCAAGGTGACAGCTCCAAGATTGACAGGATGCTATTCTTCTCGGGAACGGCGTCAGTCAACCTGTCAGCCTCCCTGTACGACAGCCTCTCACTCCTCTTAATTTGGCCTTTTGTTGAGCGGTCACTGGGTTAGCTCCGACACTCCATGTGGCCGCCCTGATAAACTGCACAATGAAACGCACACAAGGTGGGGACTCGCCTCGATGAACTCTCTGTGCCATAATACTGCGAGTGGAAGTCCCTTTGATGGCATTAATGACGAAAACAGCTTTGTCTCCTATGTCTTTCAGTCCTCTATCTCGCTGTCACCTCACAAACACCCCTTGCCCTCACTACCTTACTCTGGACTCTGTTATGTTGACAGCATCTCCTGGATGGTTGAGCACTCACTGAGATACAAGAACCAGGTTTGGTCATTGTGCTGGTATGGAAATGACTATTTCTGTGTGTGTGTGTGTGTGTGTGTGTGTGTGTGTGTCAGAGTAAAAGCAAGAGAGAAAGAGAGAAGTTTGCAGCATTTCCTCCACTCACACATTGTAAATCCTTTCCTATAGTGGCAGTCACAGACTAGTGTGTTGAAATGAGATAAGGCCCCGAGCTGACTGAAAGGAACGCTAGACCCATTGTGTTCCCGCGCTATTCTCTCTTCTCCTATCCTCTCCTCTCTCATGCACCTTCAACAAACCACACTCTTATGTTAGTCGTCATTAAAGTCACCAGTGTAGGTTGTGAAACGGGAGAGAGTATATGTCACTCGATCAGAACAGGAAAAGAGTTGTTTTATGCTGACAGAAACGATTGGGTTTGTATTGAGAAATTTCTCTTTGGTTACATGCATCCTCCCTGAATATGTGTTTTGTAATTTAAATACGAGTGTGGTGAAGAGGACGTTATCTCACTTTGTATGTTAACATCTTTAATGTGTGCTTATGCTCAAGCTGCTCTATAATATTATGAAAGAGGATGAGACAGAGTCTTTCTGTAATACAGCGTGGTGTAACGGATCATTGACCCACCCAATCAAGCACGTACGCTGGAATGCTGCTTTTACAAATTGTGCCCATAGACCCCCTGACATTTTGTTTGCAATCGAGCAGCAAAGTGTCAGTTGTTTGATTCATCCAGACATGATGGGAATTCAAAATTCAATCCACGCTCTTTGGGAAAATTAATGTCCTTTGAAGTACTTAACTTACAGGGTTGTTTCTGCTACAGAACAACTAAAATAAGAGCACTACACAATGCATTACTGTAGCAATTCCGTCTGACTATTTTTCTACTTTTCAGATTTTTCATCCAATTTATTTTTTGTTTTTTTGCAAATACTTTAATATACGTATTATAATAATAAGAATGGGCCATTGCAATACCTAAACCATATTTCACTTTTCTTTAGTATTTCTGAGCCAAGCAAAACATGGCTCATCTCGCATTTTTTCAGAGATTAAGTAAAACATTGAAAATGAGATTGCATTCTAGTGAATTTTTACTTCCATTACTATACATAGGCATTCACAGCCCTACTACCTAGATGAGACACTTGGACAAGATTTTTTAGCCTGATTTAGACTGGTTATGTATATATTTGTACACGCATATAGGTACAGTTAGCATACGCATCTGTGTGTTTTATCTGGCCAGGCTGAGTAAGAGTGTAGGGTCACAGTTGACCAACAGAAGTGCAAACTGACAAAGGAGGAAGTGACACCTGATTATATCAAGTGTTGACTCAAGAACAGGATATGCAGCTTAAACGCAGAGGGAAATGGACAGTAAAAAGTCCTCAGTATGCAGGTGAACACGCCCCCATACATTCACATGAAAGTCACTGCTATGTATGACTGTCTTTCCCAAGAGACAATATGTGTGTGTGCGCTTGTGTGTGTGTGTTTGGAGTGTGTTTGTGTGTTTGTCTGTGTGTGTGTGCAGACAGTTGGTGGTGCTGGCACTGGAGATAGTGAGTAGAGGGGGATGAGGCACTGTATCAAGTTGTGAACATCTGTTCCTCATAGAAACCACAAAGCTGGTGCTGAGGAAATAGAGAGGGTAACTTCTCTCTCCCTCACTCTCTCTCTCTCACACACCTCTCATCGCCACCTTGCCCCTCATCCCACACATGCCCCTCACTTTATTTTTCCATTCCTTATTTACTCAGTTGTTCTTCCTCTTCTTGTATCATCATTAACATCCATCTTTTGCCCACATTCATTCATCTCTGCCACATGTATTTGCTCGTATCTGTGCCACAGCTATGGTAATCCTTAAGCAATAGATTGGTAAAAAACAATGGGCGTTAGATTTTCATATCTATAAGCTTGGAACGTTTTATTACAAAATGTGTATAATTTCTGGTCAGTCATTCTGGTTGTGATAACATTGTTCATCAGCTTAACTGCTGAGATATGGTGACATGGCAAAACTGCAAGACAAACCACTTATGTAGAGTGGGGAAAAGGTGAAATCTTCCACAGAATCATAAAACAGTATATGGTTTCAAATTCACAAATACTTAAGATTTTAGAATTTTGTGAGGTTGTAATGAGCTTGGAATTTTGAGGTAAAAGATGAAAAAGATAGTGATATCAAAATTATTTTGATCCATTCTATGTGTCTAATTGTGCGAACAGGTCTTTGGAAACCTAAATTATAGCTAGGAAAAGCAACAAAGTTACGTAGGCTGCTTATGTAGTTATATAAAAGGGATCTCTTTTTGTGAGAGAAAACTGAAAAGAATAGCCTATTCATAGCTATAGAGGATTAGGATTGGCACAAAATTATGAAGTCTATGATACAGCAGACATGAGCCAAGGCTTTGTTAGGGATTCACTGCACCTTTTCCCTC